GATCAGGGCCTAAGCTGGCAGTTAGACATCTCTCACGCAGGCCGGGAGGAATCACGGGAGGTACACCTGCTGGCTTACTTAGACATACTTACCACTGCTGGGGAGGCAGGAAAAACTCCCTCCCCTGCTGGTGTACTGGCCAGTCATGAACCAGCTTCTGGCTGACCGACCCCCCCCGCCGGGCGGTGCATGTCATACCGACCGACAGTTCCCACGAATTCTACCGTTAGGGTCGATTTGCTTATTAACCTTTTATTATATAGGCTTGCTTGGTGCCCTGGCAGGGTAGCTCAGTTGGTTAGACCAGTGGTCGGCAAACTGCGGCTCGAAGCCACATGCGGCTCTTTGGCCCCTTGAGTGTGGCTCTTCCACAAAATACCGACTTCTGCGCATGGGCCATGAAGTTTCAATCGCACTGTACATGCGCGCCTGCACGTGGTATTTTGTGGAAGAGCCACACTCAAGGGGCCAAAGAGCTGCATGTGGCTCGCAAGCCGTAGTTTGCCGACCACTGGAGATCAAACCACAACCTGATACACCAAGGTTGTGGTTTGATCTCCAGTCAGGGCACATACAAGAGTTAAGGAATGAATGCATAAATAAGTGGAACAACAAATCCATGTTTCTTTCTCTCTCCCCCCCCCTCCCCCTACCTCTTCGTCCCTTCCTCTGTCCCTCTAAAAATACATAAATAAATAAATAATGTAAATTTTATTGCGCATCATATAAGGCAGTGGTATGGTATTACAGACAGATAACATAACTATGCTAGATCTAACCATAGTTACATTATCACAGAAACAAATATATAATCAAGATCTCAAATCATTAATTAGTTAGCTATTACATGTTCAATTAATATTCAAACTTGAATTAAAAAGTAACATTAAAAAATGATAGCTAGATGACATTGAATACATTTAAAACTAAGTATTTAAAAGAGCATAGTATTTAAAAGTTATTTGGCCCTATTATAAAATGGAGTTGGTTTGGGTACTTGTTTTTTAAGTGAAAGTAGCTATCAGTAGAAGTGAAAAGCCAAATAGATAGCATTTTTTTTCTTTCTTCACCTGCTTTCTTAGTCTACTTCTAAGATGTTTGTTGAGCACAAATTATGGGCCAGACACTGTGCATACTCAGCACAACATCTCAGCTCAGCTGGCTGTCACCCTGCAGGAGCCACAGGTCAGTATTGCCCTACCTTCTGACTGCACGAGAGAAACCATTTGTTTGAAGCCTGCCAATTCTGAAATGCTGGCATTCAATCCAGAAGCAATTTGGACATTGTGAAGACCACATGAGACACAGTGAGGAGCCTTCTGGGCTCCCATGTTGCTGGTTTGTGGCCTCTGAACTAAGGCATGACCCCTATGAAGACACAGATGATGCCTGGGAGGGTACACATGAGTTGTTATCACCTCAGCATGACTTGTTTTATGTACTTTTCCCAGGATTAGTTGCTCCCAAGACAGTTTCAGCAAGGAACATGTGAGGTGAAAGAGTGTAAAGATAGAAGTCCAGCCCTAGCCGGTTTGGTTCAGTGTATTGCGCATCAGCTCATGGACTAAAGAGTCACCTGTTCAATTCTGGCCCAGAGCACATAACCTTGGTTTCAAGCTCAATCCCTGGCCAGCCCCTACTGCATGTGGGAGGCAACCAATTGATGTGTCTCTCTCACATCGATGTTTCTTTCTCTCTGTCTCACTCCCTTCCACTCTATCTATATTAAAAAAATCAATGGAAAAATATCCTCAATCAACAACAACAACAACAATATAGAAGTTCAGGTGGGACAGCAGGCAGGGACACCCCAAAAATTGCAACTGTAGAATCAAAAGGATGATTTTAGCAAGAAATAAGGAGCAGCTACTGTATGCAGTGCACTTTGCTGGGCCTTGAAGTACAGAGATTGGTTGGAAATGGAATCTGATGTTAGGTAAGAAGCTTAAAGTTTGCTCAAATGATGGGAGACACAGCAGCATGTAGATGGGTCACACAAGTGTGGAGATCTTCATCTATTATGTAAATGTTTCCTGAAGACCCATGACACGTCTGGAATTTTGGAGAGTCCACAATAGGGTTTACAGTCTAGGGGGGCCTGGCTGTTTCTTCATTTTACAAATATGTACTTAAATACAATGATAACAAACGGCACAACAGAACTACAGAGACTATGATGGTGAATATGGACACCTAACTCACTGGGGGAATCAGAAAAGGCTTCTCTGAAAAAGTACAACTAAGCCAAGATCTGAAGAACAACATGGAGTCCAGGGTGGTGGGGGATGAGCCAGACCAAGAGGGGAGGTCATGTGCCAGGGACAGGGGGAGGTAGCAGAAGGCTCTGGGGCAGGTGAGGGCCTAAGTAGTGAGGCAGATTAAGGCCAGCAGAGAAAGCGGAGGACAGAGTGGGCCACTCTGTAGACCCTGTTGTGGGGTTCACCCTAGGACCCGCTGGCCACTCTAGGGTTTTAAGCAAGCGGGAAGGACACACAGGCTGTGTGACAGGTACACTGGTGACGGTTGCCAGGTAAGCAGAGATTAGGTAGTGGCTTTTGCAATAACCCACCAAAGTTAGAGGATTTGGCTCACAGGATCTTGGAGGTGACAGTGCAGATGGAAGGAAGTGGTGGCTTTTGGTCTTGATATTGAATTGGATTTGAAAGACGAAAGTGTCCAAGGAGACTCAGGATTCTCACAGTCCATTTACCACAGCAGGGAACCTCAGAGGGTAAACAGGTTTGGGAGGATGGATGAAAGTTTCCATTTTACAAGAGTTGAGTTCTTGATATGAAATACACAGGAGGATCTGGGTCTGGTTCTCAGGAGAGGGGGCTGGGCTGGGTGTCCCTGGCTTCTGGCTGACACAGAGACCTGGGGAGGGGTGAACTGGGATGAGCTGTGGAGTGAGAAGAGGCCCGGAGCAGGTCCTCTGTGTGTGCTTGTCCACTGCCCTCCTCAGGCGGTAAGTAGGCAATGTGAGCTACTGTCCAGTGCACACGCACACAGGTTTCCCAGCCAGTACACTTTATGACTACAACAGAAAGCTAAAAACATCCCCAGTCCTCAGTGTTTTCCTTAAGAGTATCTACCAAATCCAGTTGATGGTCATAACCCCTAACCCAGACACATTGCCCTCCTCCGGTCCAATGATGTTCCCTCCTGATGGAGCTGTCCCCACATACCCCAACAAGTACACTGGGTGATCTTTTCACCCATGTGTATATCTTTCTTCAATGAAATTCTTAAAGCAAATATTTAAATTTCCCTATCCCAGGGGTGGGCAAACTTTTTGACTTGAGGGCCACAATGGGTTCTCAAACTGGACCGGAGGGCCGGAACAAAAGCATGGATGGAGTGTTTGTGTGAACTAATATAAATTCAAAGTAAACATCATTACATAAAAGGATACCCCAACAAGTACACTGGGTGATCTTTTCACCCATGTGCATATCCTTCTTCAATGAAATTCTTAAAGCAAATATTTAAATTTCCCTATCCTCAACTCCTTTGTCTTCTCACAATTGATTAATTTGTCTCCTCGCCAGTAATTGGGTAGATTTCTCTTACCTCTGAATGTAACCAACTGGAAGATGCTGCTTATCACAGCAGAACCCGGGCAGCTAGGTGGCTCAAGACCAGGTGGACAATCCAGAGAGGCCTATGAGAGCTGGGGTGATGGGGAAGCAGAAAGACATGGGCTCTGGACTCAGGCATCCCAGGAGTAGAATCTCTAGATTCAATGACTTTGTTCGTCCTCCTCCATTCTCACCTGGTGGCAGCTGAATAATTAACCAAGGCACTGCAGGTCTCAGATTCAGCAGGAATGAAGATCAAAGAATACATCTTATTATTCAGTGACTTGGTAAAACTGATGTTACATTGCTCAGAAGTAGTGACAATATGTTTTACAACCTGCTTGTGTAAGTTGACTTATCTGAACACCCTTTTAAAAATAAAATTAGCATCATAGACCTCTAGTACAATTAGTTCTTGGGAACTCTGCCAAATATGTCAGGTAGGTCCCACAAAATCCCAAATGTCACAAGATTCAACGTAATCCAGCAAGCACGAACCAAACTTAATATCGAAGAATATGAAACACCTGCCAACACTCAACTGCCAGGACTTGATGTTCTCTCCATCAGACAAGTGGACCCTTTGTGTGTGTCCCTCCCCACACACAGGCTGAAGCCTAAGTGGGGTCCCATTTCTGTGACCGGAGTCAGAGTAAGTGGATCACTGGCCCCATGACCCAGCCATTTCAGATGTGAATATTTTAACACTGACATCTCAAGGACCCACAAAGAAATGGAATGCCTTATGCTTTGGTTTTATTTTGAATCACAAGAGAAACATTTTTAATAAACCCTTAAATTCTTCTCCATTAATGTGATTTAGATAATGAATTCATAAAGATTGAATTGATTTGTTTACATACTCAACCTTAGAAAAATTACATTCTTGTTTGTTTGTATACACCATCAAATCCAATCAAGCAAACAAGATGGTTAACTGAAATGATTAATGGATGCACACTAGCTGATGGCTTTAAATATAGAGTGTGTTACTGATGTCAGGGTTGATTAGTTCTCTATCTATCACTGATGCTATTAAAAGCTTTGAGCAATTTAGATGTAGTCATTGAGTAAAATTCCAATGGGCTGAGTGAACTTCTATCAGGATTGATTCTGCTGTAGCAAATTTACGTATGCACAGACATTGGAGAGATGGAGTGGGCCTTTCCTGATGGGGAGAAAGAAAGAGCAGAAATCAGGTGGTCTTTTGGCATCCATCACCACAAAGGTAAAGGGGCTTGGGATAAAAAAGTACTCATCTTCACACAAGAAATCCCAAGTGACATGAGGCTATGCATATTGATCATTTCTATTTCAGAACTTTTCAGAGCAGGAAAAATAAATGAAGGGGAAGCAAGAGGTTAACATAGTATCATGCTCTAGTAACTCCTCTAAAAATGAACCCACAGGGAAATCATGGTAGTCAGTGGTGGAGACCAAGGTTTTTATTAATAAGATAAAAGGAAGATGTGGTACAAGCAAGGGTGGGGTGAGTACTGACAGTCACTGCATGGAATGATTATGTGTCATGAGTACTTCCTAGAAAGCAAGCTAGAGTGACTACGTCAATCATTGTGAGGGGAGGTCCAGTCCTGGGATACTGCAGCTGAACTTGGGGAGATCAGGTTGGTGAAGGAAGCTGTGACTTTAGAAAGGCTTGCTATGGGACATTAGACCATTCCCAATGTCTATACTTATTGGTCCAACTGTCCAAAGATATTTTAAATGGGAGGGAAAACATTACTTTCTGGACTGAAATTCTCTGGATATTGAGATTCCTTTCCTGTCCAGGGTGTTAGCAGGTCAGATCTAAGCTGGAAGGTTCCTGCCATTATTCATGAAGCTGAGCCACCTCTAGGAAAAAGGCAGCAAACAATTTTGATCCTTCTATGTAGTTCAACCTAATGAGAGAAGTAAGAGAAACACTGTTATTTCCATTCAAATTATGGAGGAAAACTAATCTACAATGTGAACAGAAAGATTTGAGGATATCAATTCAATCTAATGTATGCAGCATGTCGGGAGGTTCCGATGTACAGACCTGGGGTTGGGCAGTGAGGGTGTAGCCCCCACAAGAGCCTACCTATTGATTTTCTCATTCTGAGAGTGCTCCCCATCGTCAACAGTGCCCAGCGGAAGCATCAGCACACTCTTCTGGATAATATCCTGGAATATTTTGGCAATTGGTATGGTTGATCCATCCCGGATCATATCTGGCTCTGTTCCAAACACTAAAACAGGAAAAGAAGGCATTTGAATAACATAATGACAAGACTATGCCCAGTAATCACCATTACATTTGGTGCATGGGGTAAGTAAGCTATTCGCTATCATGCAATTTATATTCTAAAGTAGTCAGTAGCATCAAGAAGAAAACTGTGATTGCCTTCTTTACAACTACCTACATAAAAAGATAATTTCAAAAATTTGTATTTTGAAGTAATTTCAGACTTATAGAAAGTTGCAAAAGTGGTACGGTTCCCAGATGCCCTTAACACTTCTTCCCCTAACATTAACAACTTACATACCTATTGTGCAGTTACCAAGAATAGGAAATTAAAATTGGAATAATATTATTAACCAGACTCTGACCTTATTGGAATGTCATGACTCTTTCCCCTTTTTCTGTGCCATGATCCCATCCAGAATCCCACACTGCATTTGTCACTGCTTCTTCATCTCCTCTAGTCTGTGACAGCTTCTTAGTCTTTCCTTGTCTTTCATGACCTTGACCCTCTTGAACAGTACTGATCGGTTGTTGTGTAAGCTGTTCCTTAATTTGGGTATGTCTGTTTTCTCATAACTGGAAGATGTTATGCATTTTTGGGAAGAGCAGCACAGATGTACCTACTTTTATGGTTGTTTCATGAATTAAATATTAGGAAAGTGGGACTTAGTGTTTTTGTGTTTTGTTTTTTTGTAACCAATCTATATAAAAGCCTAAGTGACTGTCCGACTATTTGACCATTTGCTCAGTCGCTATGATGTGCAATGACCACCAGGGGGCAGATGTTCCAACCAGTAGAGGAGGGAGTCCAATTCCTTGCGGAATTGGCCATGAGTTAGGTTGCTGCTGGGGCACTGTCAGCCCCAAATCTGCTTCAACCTGCACCCCAAGACCCAGAGATCGGTTTCAGCCCAATCCCTGCAGGCCAGGCCAAGGGACCCCACCAGTGCACGAATCCATGCACCGGGTCTCTAGTATATAAATAAATCACTATATGCCCGGCCGGTGTGGCTCAGTGGTTGAGCGTCAACCTATGAACCTGGAGGTCACAGGTTCGATTCCTGGTCAGGGCACATGCCCGGGTTGCAGGCTCGATCCCCAGTATGGGGTGTGCAGGAGGCAGCTGATCAATGATTCTCTCTCATCATTGATGTTTCTATCTCTCTCTCCCTCTTCCTTCCTCTCTGAAATCAATAAACTCAATAAAAATATTAAAAATAAATAAATAAATAAATAAAAATAAATCACTATAGTCAACTATCACCTGACTATCTGAATATTTGTACTCAGATTTCAATGTATCCCATGAAATAGTTTAATGGTCTAAGATCTAGAAAGAGATGGGTTCAAACCTTCCGGGTGAGAGGACAAGTTGCCAGTGATGGAGTGGGAATGAAAAATAAAACAAAGACAGAAAAGAGAACATGCCACGTGGTCTTTATCCACAAAGCAAGGCATGAATGTGAACAATGTTGATGTACTTGGTGGTTTATTACACAAATAGACCAAAAGGTGACTCCTGCATTCCTGCAAGAGCATCTCAGGTCTTTATCGTTGACCTTGACATGTCAATCACACATCTCTCTTCAGCTGGCATTACATTTACCTGCCTGACTTCTCTTCCTCTTTTCTTCACTCCCAAATTTTACTGGTAAAATACTGCTGCGCCTGGAGGCATTGTGATGGGGCTTCTCCTCCAATTTTTCATGCCTGCGTCCCTTGTCCTGACAACCCTCACAGAGAGTTGGTCCTCCCAGGAGGTCTGGACCTCAAACTCCAGCTCTGGCATCTTCAGGGGCGTGGCCTAAGGCCCCATCTGTAATACAGTAGTTCCTCCTATCCATGGCTGCACTTCTGTAGTCTCAGTTACCCATGGTCAGCCACAGCCAGAAATAGACAATGCCTACATCACTTGCCCCACTTCATCTCATCACGTAAGTATTTTGTCATTCCCATCATCACAAGAAGGGTAAGTACAGTATAAGATGTTTTGAGAGACCACATTGATGAGATAGTGTATATAAAGGCCCCTGCACAGGTCACACTCAGTAATACAGCCTGTGTCAGAAGGACGGTCGATATTGGGAGATTTAAATGTGTCTGCTTTATCCACATCTCCCACCCTCGGGTACCACCCCTCAGTCCCACTGGACACTGGAAACTTGAAATATCATAAGTCCAACCTGTTTTGATAGCTCTTTTTGCTGCAAGATACTGATGATCTTTAATATTGGCGATCCACGGATGCAGTCCCAGCACCATGGAAACATCCATCTGGTTGGAACTATTTCTTTGGGAGAATATATACTGGAGATGCTGCTGCACCTAAAAGGTAATGTTTTCAATTGTAAGAGAAAATTTCTAGTTATTCCCTCAGACAATGACTATAGTCTTCCATCAAGAAACTTGGAAACCCCAACCCAGCAAGTCCAAGGGTTGTGATCTGACCTTGGTTCTGCCTGGGGGATGATGACACAGTGAGCAGGTCTCTAGGACGGAGCTTCACCCAATGGGAGAAACACTTGCCCTCACGCTCTTCTATCCCCAGTCCCTCCCCTCCCCATCCTGACCACAGTGTCTGACTGTTAATATTTGCTTGTTATGAATTTGGTAACTGAGACCTTGAATAATATTATGGACAACATGAATAATATGAACATTATGAATGTTGAGTGATTATGTAACATAATACAAGTATAACTTCTCAATTTAAAAATCCTTCTTTTTGGACTTTGAGAGCAATCCCACACTGAGCTGGGAAAGGGCCTGTTAGCATCCTTTTCTGCCCTGGATATGTTGCTACTATGGAAATCCTCTAAAGAAAAACTCCATAGCCTGAGATATTTCTTCCATTCATTCCTTCAACTAACATTTATAGAACACCTGTCATGTGGCAAAGAACTGTTCTAGGTGCTGGGGATATAGCTGTGAGCAAGACGGACAAGGTCTTGCCCTCAGGGAATGAGTGTTGTGAGAATAGGGGAGGGGAGAAGGAGGAAGGAGAGGCAGTTGGGGAGGGGACCCTACTTTAGAATGTAATGATCACTTAGAAGACAGTAACAGAGGAATGTGGGGTAGAGAGGGTTGGGATGAGGTATTTCTTGAGCTCATTTGTTCAGAGTTTACTTGCTGTTAAACTTGAAGTTTACTGATAACAGGTGGATAATGTAGACATACAAGTCCTTCCAGATAACATTTTCATTAAAATGGCTCCTATCAGTGTTCATTTCAGACATGTGGACAAGCAATGGGCACTTAAGATTTTCTGGCTCCATCCAGCTGTCGCAGTTAGCTTCTTCATCTGTGCACAAAACCAATCTTGCCTTTATAGCTACCATTTAATTCTTTAACTTTTTCCATCACTCCAACTACAAATGGTTATTTATCTGACTACTGTAATTGCAATATAATCGAGGAAAGAGATTTTTAGCAAACAAAAATTGTATCTTTTTTTTTTACATGTGTTGCAGTCCCTTGTATATTGAAAAAATATGGTATTCAGTGCCAACACCTGCACTGCTCCCTCCACAGGGCTGCACGGCTCTCGGGAGGGTGTTGCCAGGCAGAACCATGCAGGTTTCTTACCTGTTTTTCCACCACAGATGTATTCATGTGAGGGACCAGGCGGATGGAAAATTTTCCTATAACTCGGCCAGGTATGACTGTTTTAGTTCCGGGCTTATCGAACGCACCCTCGATCCCATGGATGGAAAGAGAAGGGTACCTCCATAGGTGCATCAGAATTTCCTCCTGAATTAAAATAAAGTTATTTTATTATGTACAAGAAAGACCGATTAAAATCAGTTCAGTTAGATTGCTTACATCACCAGTTTCTGTACATCAGCGACACCGTTCATGACAAGTTCATTATCACCCTGCTTGGCTACGTCTGGACTAATAACAAAGTGACCTTCTCCCTCAGGACATGAGGTCCTGTGCGGCTGTCACCTCCTCAAGTAACTCCTATGGCAAAGGCCCCTCCTCACCGGAGCTCTTAAGTTTCCAATTAATAGATGGCAAAGGGGCCCTTTCAGAAATTTGAGTTCAGTTATAAATTTCCATCCCCAGTCATCGCAGTGACAACTTGCATGTAAATGCCTTTGATTTTTCAGGCATCCGAGCGGTTTTCTTTCTGGCTGTGGCCACCTAGACCTCTTCAGAGGAAACAGACCCCGCCTCATAGTAAACTCCGCCCGTACGTCCAGCAGGACTCCTCCCACTCAGGATCCCTCTCCGGCCTCTCTGGCATCCCCGCCTCCCCAGGGAAGCAGCCAAGCGCCCACACTCCACAGCAGGAGGAGGTGGCAACGGAAAAGTCCGAATTTGCCCTTAACAACACCTCTGCCTCTGGGCTTACTCACTACACTGAGGCAGCGATGCAGCCATTTACAGAGGAGCCCTGAGGCTCTTGGTTTTGTCTAGAAAAATGAACAGTGAGGGGTCTAGAGCTGAACAATTGCAGGCTGTTCTCACTCTCTGAACGAATAGGAAGCCCAGCTGGTTGGGATTGAGTAAAGGGATTAGGAAAGGCTGGGCTGTGAAAGGAAGCTCTGTGGTTATGGCCCCCAGATAAAGATCTGGATCTAGAGTCTAGACCAGCGGTTCTCAACCTGTGGGTCGCGACCCTTTGGGGGTTGAACGACCCTTTCACAGGGGTCGCCTAAGACCATCGGAAAACACATATATAATTACATATTGTTTTTGTGATTAATCACTATGCTTTAATTATGTTCAATTTGTAACAATGAAATTGGGGGTCACCACAACATGAGGAACTGTATTGAAGGGTGGTGGCATTAGGAAGGTTGAGAACCACTGGTCTAGACCATGACAAGCCTCAGAATTAACTGCTGTCAGTTCTAAGATGCGGAGATGAGCAGCACTCAGATCAGGCAGTGGGAAAAGTGGTTTAGTGTCGTCATTCCTTTCGGAGAGCCGTCAGCTGGGGGCTGTACCTTGGTGTTGAACAGGAATTTCTTAACCCGGCTGCTGTTCCGGTATTCTTCTAGGTCCAGGTCGATGGCACCGTACAGTTCTTTCTCCTCTTCTGTGAGAGGAGCCACGTGGTCATAGATCCCAGGGATCAGAATATTACCGGCCGAGTCCGTGAGGCTACCTACAGGACACACAGGAAACAAAGCCAGACAGATGTTCCGCTGGGCTGATGCTCAGGCCCTGCAGTGGGACCACAGCGATGGGGCAGCAGCAGGCCTGTGACTGGCTCTGGTTCCCACAGCAGAGCCAGTGGCAACAGCTCACATCCTAGAGGGGATGGTACAGGAAGGAGGTCACCAGGCTGACTCAGCCTGTGTTAGACCTGCTTTAATGTCTATCTTGTAGGATGAAAACATGGATTTGCAATCAATTAAATGGGGTTTGACTCACCTGCATTACATTCAAGTTCCCAACTCTACCTGTTATAGCATAAACATAAAAACTTTTAAAAGTTTTATCATATCCTGAGTTAAGAAGTAATGTATTCAATATAAAAGTGTTTAGATATACATGTGTATGTATGTACATAATACTTCGAGAAACTGAAAATCATCATTCCTTCTCAACTTCTCTCCTCTCCACACATAATAATATAATAAATACTCATCATTAATCAAAAGCATAATATTGGGGTCTAATCTGTGAGATCCATCAGGACCATGAGCGCCTTTGTGATGATGAGCAGTCGACTGGACTATTATTTATGAAAGATTTTCGGGATTAATATGAATCAGGGAAATCATCAAAGAATATCTATAAAAGAAGCAGACTTGAGATTTAGTAGATATTGCTATTTCGAGAAAGTACTTACCAAAGATACAATGCAATCAGTAAGTAGAGAACATAAATGATGAAAAACATCTCTGGGCAGCAAAATCTAGGGACTTTTATTCAAGTAAAGACACTTCATAAAACTATGTCCACATTCCTAATGTGATTATAACCTGACAATGCCAGAAAATTACTGTGAGGCACTACATTTTCAAATCTTTCCATTAAGGTCGACAATCACAAAGCACATGATAAAGAAATAGTTGTGGGTCCACAGGCAGCTCTATCTTGCATGGGAGGATGTCAGCAGAAGTTTGGGGACGTTCATTAAAGGGACACTGAGTGAATCTACTGTAGGTGGTGGATTTATGTTCTGCTTTGACTTTGGTGAGGGTGACTGCAAATCAATGACAGCCAGTCCCAGTCACTCGGTGCCCAATTTAATGTTTGACTTGAACTTTACTATTGGGTTTGTATCATTGCCTTAACATACTATACTGTATTAGGCTAAATGAGGGCGTTCCATAACTCAGGCCATGGATGCTGTGCAGCAATCTGCAGTACTGTACCCCTAGTGCAGTGACACATTCTGGGTGAAGTCCCGGGGGACAAGGGGAGGGGCTGAGGAGGATGTGGTTGAAAACCAGAACAGTGACATCGTCCCTTCACGTTTTGCTCCTGACATCTCAACCCTCAGGCCTTGCTTTTTGTGATCCTCTTAAAGCACTGGGAATGCCATTACATGTTGCACTACTGCCATCCATGTAGATTTTCATAGGGGGTTGTCCTTGGCTTAATTAGAGCCAAGCCACCTGTTGGTCCACTCATGTGGGTTCACACTTGTTATTTAGTCCTGTGTGGTCAGAGACAGTGCCCTCATTCATGGAAGGTGGGTCTGTGTATGGTCACATCCCAGCATTCACCGGGCGCTGGAACACAGCAGGTGCCCAATGACTAGGTGTAATGCATCAGTCCTCAGAGAGCCTTCAACCCTGAGTCCTTCCATACACAGCAGATGAAAACCACATGGTGGGCACAATCCAGTATCACTTTGTTACGGATTGTTTCAAAATTTAAAAAAGGGAAAACCTTTTATTTTCATTCCATTTGTGATCCTCATCTGACTTTTCCTAGCAGAGCAATATACATTTGTGGGGCTAAATGGACTTCTATGCCTGGGTGAAACCATGCAGGCTAGACAGATGGAGAGCAGCAATCATGTCTGGGGAGTGGGGGAGGGGGGAGGAGAAGGAGATTGAAATGCATTATATAGATATGAAGGTGCTGCTCCTAGGGATGAAAAAAAATTAGTTCTGGTAAAATAGAGAACTGACCTTCGCCCACCCTCAAATAATAAGTTGCATGCTATCTGAATCCTTCTGGAACAATTTAAACACTTGAAAAAAAATGGCTTGTTGTATTCTGTCTTAAATTGCCAAGCAAGCATGTTGTAAAATTCGTATAAAGGTGCCCTTTGTGCCATGTGAGGCAGATCCTGGTACTGTGAGGCCTGAACTTATGTAGCCTGAGAACCTCTGTTTGAAAAGAACACCAACACTCAAACACAAAAGAGCAACATCCCTGACAGGACTGCGGAAGGGGCTCCTGCAAGCAAGGCCCCTGAAGATGAAGCTTCCTTCAGTTCCCAGAGATCCACCCCAGCTGCTGGGCAGTCCTGATATAGGCAAGAGCCACAGGGTGAATCAAGGTGGGCAAATGGGCTCTTGGGGAACACCACACACACACCCCTAACTTGACTTGCACACACCAGGTATCCACAGGAGGTCAGAAGCAGGTGTGATCAGCAAACTCATTGGAGTCTCTGTGCAACCTGGGGCCACAGCAACGTGGAAAAATGAAGCCAAGTGGTGCCAGGATATTTGGCATCATTCTGAGAGCCTCCCAGAAGGCTCTCGATGCTATGCCATTGTCTTTGCGTATGGCCAGATGTGTCACAGTAGCCAGTAAAAGAAAAGGAACAAATTCAGGAAGAGGTTCAGTCCATGAAAAAAAGTAACATGGTCTTAATAAGCCCAAGGAATATTTAGCCAAGGGGGAAGCTAAAAATATGTTTTTTCTTCTAATGCACCTCTATTTAGAGCTGGCTTGGACTAAGGAAGGAGAGACACATTGGGTCATATAGAACTATATTTTAGTAGATTGCTTGATGTGTAAAAAGTGAAATGAAATAAGACATTACCGAGAAGAGCCACCAAATCAGCCATTGGCTCATGAAGGATACCACCAAAGGTGCCTGAATGAAAATCTTGATCTCTGCATGTCACCTATAAGACAGGTAGAAGAGAAGACAGGCGCTAACACTGTCGTTGCTGTAGCTGTAGCTTTCACATGGTGGGAAACACGCCCAACCAGTGTCCCTCAGGACTCAGGTGAGCACCCTGACATCGCTCCTCCTCCTGTCCAGTCATATGGCTCCCATGTCTTCTTTTCCCATGTGTCCTGAATCCCTGAGACTGACTAGCCCCCACCTATTCCACAAACACAGTTCTATTCAGCACCACACTATTGATGGCTACATTATCATCTTCCTCTTGGTTTCACCCTGTTCTGTTGCTCACCTTCCTTCCAGGAAAATTCTCCTCCTGTGGTTTCTGAGCAAGTTTCTCCTCTGTATTCTTTTATTGCCTGCAGGATAGTTAATGTCTCCCCTCATAACTTCTCTTCTGTCTCCCACCCCCACCGCTTATTCTGGGGCACATTCTTCCTCTACACACAGAGCCCCAAGAACTAGCTCACTGGGCTTCATTCACAGCCCCACACTCCTACATGTTCACACCTATATGTCTGATCCCTCTGGTGTGCTACTACTTTCTGAAATTCAGGGCTAGAAGTCAACTCAACACCTTCTGCTACAATGACTTCCTACCAACTCGCTCATTTCCAAAACAAGGAGAGTCCCCAGTCCTGTTAATTTGTTAATCCAAATTATCTTGGATTCCTCCTGTGCACACCATATCCAATCTGTTACCAAGGTCCAGTGAGGCGTTTTTTTAAATTGTCTCTTCAATTCAGCCCCTCCCATCATTCCTGCCCTGCTGGTCTTTCTCTGCCCGGTGCACCTTTAAGGTGCGGCCAGGAATGTGTCCTCTTTCCTGTCCCACTGGGTTCCCACAGGGTGCAGATTATTAGTGTCCACATTGTCACATGAGAAAACAGACTAAAGTGGCTGAATAACAGACGATTTCCCAGGAGGGACTCTCTGATTCTGAGTCGTGTGCCCTGTCCCAGGCTGTCTGTATTGATGGAACAGGAGAAGGAAGCAGACTAGCTGTCACATTTAGCCATCACACAACCCTAGGGGCTTGTAGAAGGGTTTGCTGTGCTTACTTTAGAGGTAAGGATGCCAAGACTTGGAGGGTAAGGGGCCTACACAGGCTGTATGAGCCAGACTGGGATACAGGCCTCGCAATACCAGTGCCCCTGGTCTTCCGTCCCAGACCTGGCAGGCAGGCCCCATGGATTAGGTACTGTTGCCCTCCCAGGAGCCCCAGCACCTGATCAGTAGGCTCTTACCCTCCCTCTCCTTCCCGCTGCTGCACCTGCCTCCAAATTCCACTTTCCACAGCTGCAGTCCCTAAATCTCTTGGCTTGTGAGTCACAAGCCGTCTGAATCCTGTCTGTAGAAAGATGCACAATTCACAGACTCACAGTGGGGGCTTCATGAACCCCACACCCCGTCCCAGAACTTCCCAGAAGCAGGCAAGCATCCTGGGAGAACTCTGTGCTCTCACACAGCTGTGTCTCTGTCCCTCCCAGACCCCAGCGTGGCTTCCTCCCAGCAGGCCACCAGGGTTTGCAGATACCTCCACCGTGAAGTAGCTGTTCCCTCGAGTTCCGTAAATGAGTGCTGGCCTCCTCTGGCTCAGCCACAGGTTATCGGAAATCACAATGTAGTCCACGCTGGAAAAGAACCTGTCCTTCTCTCTCTTGACAAGTTCCTCCAGGGCCACAGAACCGGCTTCTTCCATCCCTTCAATGATGACCTTGATGTTCACGGGGAGATCCTGAGTGAACAAGTCAAAAGTTGGACAAACCAATCTGTCAAAAACTGCACAGTCACCCACTCACCTTGTAAGACCCAGGGATAGTGTGTATTTAACATAAGTACAGTAATTATCACATGTGTTCAATATGTGAATTATTCACATTCCCAACATCTCTGTTACAGCAAAGAAGTTTCAACTAAGGTTGTGAAGGAGAGTTCAAGGTAATGCCCAGTGTACATTCCAGCGTGACCCACCAATTTAATGATGAAGGATCTGGGGAAGGAATTCCTAAAAGCAGCGACATCCACACCACAGAGCTCTGCGGGGCTGCCCCAGGCAGAGGCGCTTTCTTCCTTCTTCCCAAAAGGAATTTTTCAAGAAAGGTTACGCCATTACAAATCTCCTTTCTGAACTCATAACTCTGAGCCTGATAAACGAGAACTCTTTCCTTTGAAAGATTGGCTAATATTTAAGCCCTCGGATAATTTTTATTTCGAGTATCTGTTATTTTTCAACTATGAGTTCAATCTGCCTTTTAACTTATTCAAAGGCTTTGATCATGCAGCAGAATGGAACATGAGTTTTTTTCCAGTTAATATTAGGGCTCAGAATCACTCCTTTAAAATTTTTACAATGTGCCCTTCCCCCATTTGGTTTTGATCTTATTGTATCTCTATAATTTATAACTTCCTATCTCTGAGAGCCACATGAAGAGGAGAGGTCAAAGTCTCTTCCCGGAGCAGAAGACACACGTAGGAGACTCTAAAAGTGATTATACGCAGACAAACGGCAGCACATACATACTAATTAGCTCTAATGAGCAGGACCGACTGGCCAAAGATGAACAAAGGCAGGATGAGCAGAGGATTATGTATTAGAAAATGTGACCTTAGGCCATTCTGTTGGTTAATGTGGGGATAATGATTTGTTCAAAGGTATCATGTGTGTACATTTCTATGTGTCTTAGGAAGTCAAGCTACAGTTCTGAAATCTTAATATTCAAAAGCTCTTTATTAACACATGACTGAGAAGTAGTTGGAAAGCCTAAGATTTTCTGGCAAAAGGTGATTAATAAAATCCAAGCCAATGGCTACTAAATGTTGGAGGCTGGGGCTTTGGTCTCTGCTCTGTCCCATGGCACCCAAGGGACCTGCACAAGCTATTCCACCTCCAGGCAGCTCACTTGTCTCCCTGTGCGGTATGGGCACGGACAGCCAATCTGGCTCTGGGTGAGACGGTCCAGTGAGGTGACACACGGTTAGTGATCTGCACACAATACAGGAAAAAGGGGGTGAGAGGGTGGAGGGCAGGAGGGCACCAGGAAAGAAGCCAGCACTCATACGGCCCAGCACTCATAGGCAATGGAGTCCCTTGACTGTTACTTTGTTTAGTCGTCTCAATGCCCTGAGGAAGAAGTGATCATTCCTACCTCACAGATGAGGAAAAAAGAGGCTTAGAGAGAATTAACTGGCTTATGTGCTGTTTATAATTATGTAAGCTTCAGAGTTGAAATTTAAAAGCAAAGCAGATTTTGGCCTTTATATAGGAATTTTCATATAAATATTGCTTCCCTCCTCTTAAGAAAGAAGGGGGGAGGGAACAAAGGGGGGGAGGGAAGGAGAAAGAAAGGAGACAGAAGAAGAAAGTCCAGGGAGAGAATTCTAGACAGAGAGGAAGAGAGGGGAGAAACCAAGGCCACATTAAACTTTCAGGCTGACCAATGTGAGTGTCAAGAACCACAAGGCAATGTTTCAGTGGTCGAAGGACCTACCAGGAACCTATTCTGACTCAAACTCTCTTTCTTAGTGAGATACAGCAGCTGAGTCCAGAGCAGTCACATGCCCTCTCCCCTTCTGCTTATGTCTGGGAGAAAAGAAACTCATGAAAGAGAAGCCCAATGAAATCTCTTCCAGGGGAAGGATTTGGGAGCAAGGGGTGCCATCAAAGATCTAAGCCTTGGGCCTGGACTGGGACGGCGCCCGGGCCTGAGCACTGCTTCCCTGCTTCCCTGCTTCCTCCTAAAAGAGGCTGGATGGAGCCAGCATGCAGGAACCCTGACCTTGGAGCGCCTTCTTCAATTTCCAGTGAACAGAGGTGCTTGATTCAGGGAAGTCATGCGAAGGAGAAGGTGGCTGGCTACATATCCTTAAGGTTAGCCCCATAGAGTCCTCGGAGGGAGCCAAGGGCCAACACCCTCGTTTTTACAGGACAGGATCTGAGGCCCAGAGAGGCCAGGTCTCCTGCCCAGGGCCACCCAGATCGACTCCTCTGTTTGGAGCCTAAGTGCATTCATCAGAAGAAGGGAGGGTGGTGTGAGATGAGACCACCCTTGTGAGAACATCAGGTGGGACAGTAAAAGACTCAAACCTGGGCCACCAACATATCCTCTGATGGCCCTAGAGAGGCAGCCCCCTACCTTTCCAGTACCTGTCTGGCACACCTATGAAAACTGCATTTCACAAGAATGGAGAGGCCTAAAGATTCAAATAGAATGTCACATGCCAGGGATCTCTATCTTGATCATTGATAAAATAGCTGATGTGTTGTTTTAAAGTGTATGTTTGTCTCTATTAATAAAATCAAACTTTGTGATAAGAAGGAGGAGGAGATAAAAAATACAAGTTAAAGTAAGATAAAGGTGAAAAAGGCAAGTCCCAGTGAGAGTAACTTAGCCACAGGCTCATCATACTTTTTGTTATGTGTTTGTTTTTTTTTCCATTTGGTCAGCAGCACAGGCTCAAGGTACCATGTTTGCCCCAGACCAGCTGGGCAGCTTTGAGCAAGTTCCCTGACCGTCCTAAGCTCCACTCTCCTCATCTATAAAATGGGTGTGATTATCAGAGTACAGCCCTATGAAGACTGTTGGAAAGAGGAAAGGACAAAATTCAGGTGAAAGCTTGCAGCACAGTGAGGGACTGTGCCATCATCATCATCATCATCATCATCATCATCATCGTCCATCGTCACTGTCACTGTCACTATCACCGTCATTATCATCGAGCTCCCTCCCCAACACCACTGGCTACCTACTTCCTCCAGGGCTCGGAATGCGCTCATAGCATTAATCCACGCCAAAACAGGACCTTTGTTGTCTGTTGCTCCTCGTCCGTAAAGTTTTCCTTGAAAAATGGGGGAAGAATTTTCAGAAAAGCATGGGTACCTCTGCCAAATTGAGTGAGTTAAAAACAAACGTTGTTTTATGGGTAATTGCTTGAACAGGGCTTTCTGCTTCCAAGAACAAATCTTGCACTGAAATCGCAAAGTGTGATTTCTTATGTATAGACAGTATGGCCACTAGCTAGACAGAAATGTAAGCTCACTTGAAATATACTGATCCATTATGAGGTATTTTATCCACATTCATGGAAAAGGGCCTGAGGATTTGTTACAGACGGTCATGTAACACAGCCTCTCATTCTGAGATTTTACAACTAGCAAAAGAATGAAAAAAGGGTATCTGTAGCTCCATTAACCTTTCTTCTTCTTTTCTTTAAAAAGAAATTATAGTTGGTAATTTTAAAAAGAAAATGTTTGGCCAAGACAACTGTTTTCCTCACAGCCCAAGGACTCCAGCCTGGGGCACTCATTCACCCAGGGGCACAAAGGTTTGAAGTTTCTTTCCCAAATGAAAGAAAATTGGCCACATTGGACCAACTTGTAGACCATGAGAGTGGCATTTAGTTCATTCTTAACAACAGGTTAGACCTGGAGCCAGGGATGGGAAGCCCGTCCTAAATCCTTAACCCTGTGAGCATCCCTTATCCACAGCGGCACCAGCTCTGCGCACCAGCACGTCACTAACCATCCACTTCCGTCAGTGTGTAAGGGTCTGTGAGCCACCCATCGGCCTGTGTGGCCGGCTGCACGTCCAGGTGGCCGTAGAAGCACACGGTGGGTTTCCCTGGCTCATTCCCCAGCTCAGCCAGGATGACAGGAGGTATCGGGAGAGTCTGGCCATCAGGCAGCTGCAGGAGGACAATGGATAGCAGTTTTAAATAAATGCTGTTTAGTTCTTCCCGACAATTCAAAGACATGATGTTAGGAGTCCTGCTTCTACCCCTGGGTCCTGGCAGAGTCCATATAATTTTCTGATCACCCTTTATCCAGCTCTAACATGGTACCACAAGATACTTTTAATTAAAACATGAAGCGTAATTAAAGCAAAGCACTTCCTCAGATATACATTGATAAACAGGAAACTTAGTTGAGCATGCTCTTCAATAGGAACTCAGACTCAACTACCTTGAATTGGGTGTCGGAAACAAACTGTTGGGAGACTTTCAATGCTAAGCCTGGCAGCACTGTGCGCTAAGATTTAAGATCACCATTTGTGACCGAGGGGAAGTAACAGGCAGTGATTCTGATGAGAGGCTGGAGCCTCAGAAAGATGCCTTAGAGTAGCGGTTCTCAACCTGTGGGTCGAGACCCCTTTGGGGGTCGAACGACCCTTTCACAGGGGTTGCCTAAGGCCATCAGAAAACACATATATAATTACATATTGTTTTTTTGATTAATCACTATGCTTTAATTATGTTCAATTTGTAACAATGAAATTGGGGGTCACCACAACATGAGGAACTGTATTAAAGGGTCGCGGCATTAGGAAGGTTGAGAACCACTGCCTTAAAGCTTGGGGAAGTTTGCAGCTTGTGTGCAGGGTGTGAACAGCACAGGGGCCTTTCCAGAATGAGTCGCCTTCATTCACCTCCTTGTGTTCCCTCCCACCCCCACCCAAGTCCTGACATGATGAGAAATCAACATGGCAACCTCGTTTGGGACGGGGAGGAATTCTGGCCCCCAGGCGCCGGAGCTCCTCTGCGGCCAGGACCATCATCCTGAAGAGCTCTTGTCGGAGGCGGGGCACAGGTTGAACGGAGTCACTCTCAATGGCCACCCACTCCTTCAGCCTCTGTGAGGACAGGCCACAGGGTGATTAGCATGACACAGCACAGGAGGCACAGAATCCCCAATGTCCTTCATTTGACCTTGATATTCAAAAGTCACTGGCCAAGCTGAAGGTGTAATCAGGAACATAGAAGCCAGAGCTGGCTGGGTCAGAAGAATGGGACAGGGCAGGTGGGTGGAAGGCTGTTCTCCCAAACACCGGGCCTGTGCCCCTGTGGGTTCACCAGGGTTGTGAAGAAGGGCAGATCCAGATCAACCCTTTCTGGTTTTTAGCACTGAGAGGCTGGCCGGCCACGCCCCCGCCAGGACTGGCTTCCCACCATGCCCTGAAGGCCTCTGGACCTCACAGAGCACCCAACTTGATCCCCTGGCGGCTTCAGCAGGCTGCAGGGCTCCTTGGCACCATCCTTAGCACTTAGGTTTTGTGGTCAGCCCTGCCTGCTCCTCCAGGACCCTCAGGGCGGCAGGCAGCCTTAGCTCCTAACCCTGGTCTGCCCATCAGAGTTGGACTTGGAGAATACTCCGTACACTTTCTCAGCCTCAGCTTTTTCGTCTCAGGTTACGGTGACTATGAGGTTGCGATACAATGGGAAATACATATTTTTGTCTTTATCTCACCTGTTGGCCAGAGCTTCTGAAACTTTCACAACTTCCTAAGCAATGGAGGTGCCAAGGTCATCTTCAGTTCTAATATTTACTCTCGGCCTCAGGTTCCTAACACAGAGCTTCTAACTCCCTTGGAATTTCCTGGGCGAGAGCAGCATATTTTGTTGTAATGGGGCGACTATGAGTGGCTCTTGGTGGGGAGGGGTCACCAAGACTGAGCTGTGATGAGAGGTCTCGAACTTTCAGCCCCAGCCCCCCACGTCTGGAGGGAAGAGGGCTGGACACCGAGTTAATACTCATCATGCCATGTGATGAGGCCTCCCTAACATCCTGATTGCTCGTGATGTGGGCGCAGAAGTGAATGAAGTAGCGGAAGAAAACATGCTTTCCCTTCAGGGAGGACTCAGGGAGAGATGGTGCCTGGAGACTTAGCTCGATGCCGGCCCCAGGGGTGCTCAGGGAAGGCCAGCCAGCGTGGAGTTACAATAATGATCAGGCGCATCCCAGTGTTGGCACGTGAGGGGCTTATCCCGGGACAGCAGTCTCACCAGACACCACTCGTGTCTTAGTGACTAATCCTGGACTCCCCAGTTTATTCCAGTTGGATCTTATCCTGGCTGTAGCACCCCAATCCACACAGCCCCCCCCTCCCCACACACACACGCACTAATTCCGACCTACAGGGGAACCCCCACTTGGGTTTTGAAAATGCAGTGGGGAGCAGGGTAAGTTAATACTCCCATGTGAGGCAGGTCCATGAAGGTCAGGCTTAGGAAAGCGGCTGGACTATCGGCATTGTGCTTTAGCACCAAACACAGAGGTTTCAGATCTAAGCGCCAATAAGGGTCCTAACATTGACTGGTTGATCAAATAACCACACACTGAACACGTGTGCGGAGATGACATGGAGACGCAGGGCGCAGAGTTGGCGAAAGCTCAGGGAGTTGGGGCCACGGTGGAGGCCTGGCCTGAGGGGGACAGAGAAGTGAGGAAGGAGAGGGACTTGCAGGGAAGACTGAGTCCAGCCCTTTCCTGCTTCCCTCCCAGGCCTCCTTCCGTCTCCCGCCCCCACGTGATGAGATAGGAAGAAAGCAGAGGGTTGCCAAGGAGAAGAAGATAAGTGTGTATCACATGGACTACAAAATAACAGCTCTGACACTGAACATGGCAGAACTCTGGACTGATAGCTGCTGCAGCCAGGAGGTGTTACTCTGGGCTGGTGTCCTTGGGAGGTGAGTTTCAGCCAGGAGAGGGCCTCAGCGAGGGCACCACGGCCACCTGAGGATGGTTCCCAGTAAACGTGAGCTCAACATTTTCCACAACTCCAAGACAGCCCCCTAGAGCAGTGGTTCTCAACCTTCCTAATGCCGAGACCCTTTAATACAGTTCCTCATGTTATGGTGACCCCCAACCATAAAATTATTTTCGTTGCTACTTCATAACTGTAATTTTGCTACTCTTATGAATCGTAATGTAAATATCTGATATGCTATATGTGTTTTCCGATGGTCGCGACCCACAGGTTGAGAACCGCTGCCCTAGAGCAAGTGTGCTGGAAAGGAACAGACACCCCTTTCCAGAGGAATGGTTGGGAGAGATCTCTTCCCTCAATCTAACAAATAGTCACGATTTTAATTCAATGAAGAATCACAGGCATTTTAAATGTAATTAAGTTGTCCCCACATCTCCCAGCAAACCACCACCATTCACCCGGACACCAAAAGGGATCTCATGCAAGTGTCCCGCCTATAGTTTCTCCAACCTGCACAAATTCATCCTGATGGAGATCCATGTACTGGAAGACCTTCTCGACCAGCCCGGCATGGGGTGAGGATGGAGAGGACATGCCTCCCAAAAGCAGCAGCAGAAGAGCAAGGAGAGCTGACGCCTGTGGCAGGCACAGGGGAGGAAGCAAAATAAGTACCAGGGTTTGGACTTTCGACCTTGCAAACACTTCAAGAAGTCTGTTCTCCGATACAGCTGCGTGCAGTCACTCAGGCTAAAATAACACCAGGTAGTAGAACAGGAAATCTATGTTGTGCTCCGTTTCCCCAAGCGCTTCCTTTTCAGCGCTAAAGGATTGTGATCAGACAGAAAGCAAGCTGACAAGCTTGTCTGGAAGCAGCCTTCCTCAGTCTGTTCCTGTGATCGTCTTTCCGGTTGGTTGACTTCCCCTTACGTCAAACCACACACATATGGTGTGAAGGGCAATGTTTCTAAGGGAGAGAAGTGTGACGTAATTTTTAAAATAATAAAATTTGTATGTGTGATTAGCCACTCTATTAGAAAGAATATTTTGTAAGGACTGCCTAGAATCCTGGGCAGCATGAGGGGTTTCCTCCATCAGCTCCTGAGGCTAGAGCACTTTAAAAAGAAACATAAAAGCATAGTGTGATAAGTAACATGGAAGAACTAAAGATAATTTAGACGCTGTTGGCCACATTCCCCGCCTGGGGGCCCCTGGTCCACGGCTCGCTCCCCTTTCCTCCCACCTCTCTGGCCTCTGCTTCCCTCTCTGATGGCCCCTTACCTCCCCTGGCCCATAAATGTGAGACTTGTCCATGACCCCTATCTTTGCCCTCCGCTTCCCCCTCCTCCCCACACCCTCTTCCTACTCATCCCTCCACCCTATGGTAGCTCCAAGCTGGGTGCAGAGCAGAAAACCAGAGGGCAGGACTTCCAGGCTCAGAACTAACTCATCATCTTCTTCCAAACCAACTCTTCCTTGTGGATTTTTGCACATTTTGAAGCTAGACTTTATTTTTTAGAGCCACTTTAGGTTTAGGCAGCTTCCTTTCTAGGCCTCCAGCCCGGGGCACCAACAGAGCCAAGGTGAAGATGTGTGTCTAGAGCCAGGGGTCCTCAAACTTTTTAAACAGGGGACCAGTTCACTGTCCCTCAGACCGTTGGAGGGCCGGACTATAGTTTAAAAAAAAACTATGAACAAATTCCTATGCACACTGCACATATCTTATTTTGAAGTAAAAAAACAAAACGGGAACAAATACAATATTTGTATTTGCATGTGGCCCGCGGGCCGTAGTTTGAGGACCCCTGGACTCTAGACTATAAAGAATTATACAGTCAATAATATAAAACAAATTTGAATAGACAGTTCTCCAAAGAAAATCTACAAATGATCAACTAAGTACATGAAAAGATGGTCAACACCATTAGTTATCAGGGAAATGCAAATCAAGTAATGAGACACCACTTCATACCTGCTCCCCTACTCCTATGGTTAAAATAAAAAAGTCAGGTAACAACAAGTGTTGGCAAGGATGTGGAGAAATTGGAACCCTCATACACTGCTGGTGGGAATGCAAGATGGTGCAAATGCTTTGGAAAACAGTCTGGCAGTCCTCAAATAATTAAATATATGACCTAGCAGTTCCTCTTAGATATGTTTTTAAGGAAGATGAGAACATGTGTCCACACAAAAACTCAACAGGGATGTTTACAGCAGCATTATTCATAATGGCTGCAACCCAAGTGTTCATCAGTGGATGAATGGATGAACAAAATGTTGTGTATACATAAGATGGAATATTACTCAGCCATGAGAAGAAATGAATCACTGATACATGCTACAACATGCATGAACCCTGAAAACATTATGTTGAGTAAAAGAACCCAGACATAAAAGACTACATATGGTATCAGTCTATTTATATGAAATGTCCAAAATAGTTAAATCTGGAGAGACAGAAGTAGATTGGTGGTGGCCTAGGGCTGGCAGAATTGAGGGGAGTGACTGGTGATAATGAGTAGGGGGATTCTTTGTGGGATGATGGAAGTCCTAAAGTTCATTTTGGCAACGTTTGTGCAAGTCTGAATATACTAAAAACCATTGAATTGCACAATTTAAATTGGTAAATTGTAAGTTCCGTGAATTACATTGCAATATGGTCATTATAAAAATAATAACCATAAATATGAACACTTGTTCAAAAGTATAATTATAGTATTGAATATGAAAAATGTCTCGAAAGGAAGCTAAGAAGTGGGTAAATTCCAGGTAAAAGTGAACCCTGCTCATTCATAAGCGGGTTAAGAATTTAGTCCAAAAGATGGCGCCAATGAGCCGCCCCTGAGCATCCTTGGCCTTATTCTGATCTGAATGAGGCTGGATCCAGCTAAGCTCTAGGGGTTAGGGTTAGGGGCTGCAAAAAAATCAGGAGGAAAGGACTCTTGAGGACCGACAGCAGCAGAAAAGAAGCTCTGGATGCCTGGGAAAGGCTCTTTGAAATGGCGTAAGCTATTTTTTGTAGGCAATCCATATAAATTAATATGTGAGCTGCTACTTTTATTTTTCATGCATTCAATTTCCACTAAAAAAAATGATTTGGTGCTCCTCTCCAATGAAAACTAAAATGGGGCAATTTAGAGAAAAGGAAGCCACAAGAAAAGAAGGAAAACAGCAATTTTAAGGAGAAAGAATGGTTCGTATTTCAGCGGGAGCTCCCCCCACCCCCACCCCAACAGGAAGGGCACAGGTAGGGCCCAGCTTCCTGAAGGATTGTCCCTGGTGGTGGGTCCTCACACAGGGTCTGCAGGACTGCACTTCCCCACAGTGCCCGCAGAGTGGACTGAGCACCTGTGTCCCTTTGCCTCAGAGATGGGCTGTGGACACTGATCCTGCCTGTAAGATCCTGGGTGGGTCCCCACATTGCAGACATACTCACTTCTCCAGTCTCCCACACCCCTTTCTCTTTCTGTTTCTTTTCTTGGGTTACAGTCACACGTGACTTAGAATTACTGGTAATTGAAGAGTTATTCCTGGCAGAGGTGCTGGAGGACAGGAAGGTGAAGGGGGCAGGGAGAGCTGGAGGCAGGTCTTAGTGTTATCTTGGCAGAGAAGGTAACCCAGCCCAGCTAGAGAAGCCCACCTTCGGGACTCTCACAGAGGAACCCGCCCCACCCCTTCCCCCAATAAGATTCTGTTAATTCCAACTCATTGCTCTTAGATTTGTAACAAAAGCCCTAAGTGCCCCTACACTAAGCCTTATTTTTAAATACTATAACTTTTAAGACTTTCTGATGGCGTGTCCACATCCTCTGTGGTGGACCCACCCCCACCCCGTCCTTCTCCCAGTCAATTCAGCTTCAAACCCAAAAGCCTCTCCTCCCACAGGGCTGGCCTCGGGGTCTCCTCCTCTCCTAGCTCTCACCAACAACCAGGACAGCTAGATGGTCTGTGTGCTTAGCTGACAGTGGCCTCGACATCGTCACGGGCTGCCTGAGCCAATGACACTTAGGACACTTCTATCTCCTGCCCTGAAACCAACAGGCATCCTAGAGGAGGCTGAGTGGGGTGTGCTGTCGATAAAGCCCCTCCCGCACCACTTGCTGCTGAGCAGAATAAAGAATCCAAATGAAAGCCTCCCCTCACTGAGCCTGGGCTAGGCCTGTTCCCTGTTCCTCCCGGACACTGTAGCCAAACCCTTTTCCGCCTGTGAGAAACTTTGTGCTGGGTCAACTTGGATGCCAAGACCCCACTTACCAAGTCACCTAGAGTCCCATGGGATTGCTTTACGAAGGTGCTCTGCCCGGGACTGAGCTGATGGGTTTGTTATAATGCAGGAAACATGCCTTATTGGTTTATCTCACCATGCCGGGATTAAAAATAAAAGCCGAACCTCCCCTCCCCCCAACAGCCTTTCTGGATTCTGTTAATTCCCCCGCAGAGCTGGGCTGAGCCAAGCATTCCTGAGCAGATGAACTTGGCAGCCAGTCTTGAAGAGGGAGCGGTCAAGGCGTGGCTTTTGGAGGGCAGCCTGGACAGTTTCCAGCAACAGAATTCCCCAGAAAGTCCCAAGAGCTAGGAGTTTCCACCATCCTCTAGTCAGGGTCTGACCGGCAGTCTGACCCAAAAGAAGAGCTTAGCTCAGGCTCACTCCTAAACCCAAGGTGAAGCCCATCCCCCAGGTGCAGATGGCTAGAGACAGACATCACCGCATAAAGAGGTGCAGGAGGAGCCCCGCACAGTCCTGGGTGCAGGTAGGGCTCGGAATCAAGCTCAGCTCGCACTGACCGCTGGCTTGGTGTCCCCTGGCCTGGAGCTTCAGGCTGGACACAGGCACAGAGCACTGCCCTGTGCAGCAGGAGGCCAGAGGTCATGCATGCACAGCATCCGGCCCTTCAAGGACCCTGCTTGGATGGTGCGCCATCCTAGGGGCAGCCAGCTGGTCTGAGGACCATGCCCCTGACTGCAAAGGTGCAGGCCAGTAGAAAGCAGCAATGTCAGCACGTGTCACCTAGAAAGGACTCTTGAGAATCTTTTGCTTCCTTCCAGACTGGCCAGTGATCTGGGCTTCCCCAGACTCTGCCCTGGCTCTGCACCACCTCCGGAGCCTACTGTCATCTGCAAACATGACAATCCTAACCCAAAAAGAATAAGTGATGCCCAGCCGGTGTGGCTCAATGGTTGAGTGTCAACCTATGAACCAGGAGGTCATGGTTAAATTCCTGGTCAGGGCCCATGCCTGGGTTGTGGGCTCTATTCCCAGTGAGGGCCATGCAGATGGCAGCTGATCAATGATTCTCTCTCATCATTGATGTTTCTATTTCTCTCTCCCTATCCCTTCTTCTTTGAAATCAATAAAAATATATTTTTAAAAAAGAGTTGAAGTATGGTAGCAATCATCTCAGGTAGAAACTATAGTTTAACTCTAACCCTGTTGTTTGGCTTAACAATAGAAAAGTTATTTTGATTTTCTGGATTGTATAAATCATCCCATTTGATTGAATGACTATCCCATTGATTGTGATCTTACTGGTTTTAGAAAGCACATTTTTCCTTCACCTGGGAAGGACAGCACAGTTATCCCAAGGTCAGAGGGCTCTAGACCCAAAACTGTAATTTAGATAACATGCCTAAGTTTAACC